GTTGTGGCATTTTCGTGTTGCATGAAATTTGAAAAAACGCCGGCTGATGATTCCCCTACTTACGAAATAGCTATTTGTAAAATATATTTTGGGGGGGGGGGTCTCTGAACCTGTGATTTGTTCACTTGTGGCATTTCCTCATTTGAAACGTTGAGTATAAAGCATCTAAAACTCAAGGCAATGAATACCTTCCCCCCCCCCTCTTCTGCCCTCAACCACCTAAGAAATTTTTAAAAAGTGAGCTATATTCCCTAAAAAGCTGGTTCTAAAATGCCTGGCGGAAAATGCCAGCAAAGGTTTTGTCAAAACAATCAAAAGGAATTTTCTGTTTCGTCTCTGTTTCAATGGGCTCGACTTCAGCACCATGGAGCAACGGGGGTACATGTCCCCCTAAGCAGAAATGACTCTGTATTTCGTTGTTAGATGTAAGATGTTGAAGGAAGGGTAATACTTTTGCAAAGTGCTTTTTGTGACGTGTTTTTCAATGTTTAAAAGGCGTCGTCTCAAAAACCCTCCCTGTACGAGCTTGATGCTGACACACAGATAATAGCCCTGGATAATAGCCTTCCAAATGCTAGAGGGCCAAGGCCTTGGCCAAACGATTCGATTTTTCGCTCGATCTTTCTCTCGACATTTGATCTCAAAATCGAGCGAAGTCGAGCATGGGTGGCCAAAAAATTCGATCTTTAGCTCGATTTTTCATGAGACTTTTCACTCACGCCAACAAAATGAAGGCAAAGAAACGCAAATCGGCTGCCGTGTTTATCTTGCGTGCAAATATCCTTTTACATTCTCTTGACGAACTCGAGCGACCTAAGACCCTGTTCGTCCGTTTAATGCAGGAACCGCCATTAAATACTTATTTCGTTTAAACAAATTACTATTTTCGGGGAAAATTTTGTTTCTTTTGATTAATTCCATTCTTAAAACGGAATTCATCACTTAAAAAGGTCCCCTGGACCTCGAAGCCCCAGGGTAGTATGCTTCCCTGCCCAGCATAAGAGATGATAACTGCGCACGCGCTCACTTGACTCACTCGACAAGGTGGCCAAATGACTCGATTTTTCACTCGATTTCTTGTCGAGTAAAAAATCGAGTGAAAAATCGAGTCATTTGGCCGGGGCTTTAGAGCCCAAGTGCAACATTTGTTTACACAGGGGCGGTCTGGCCCGGGTGGCAAAGTGGCGATCCCCACCCGGGCCCTGTGTAAAAAAATTTACGGGCCCTTCCCGCGTTGAAAAAAAGTTTATGTAACAGACTTAATTCCCTAGACTGATTACTTTGCGATTAAAGACCCAATACAAGCACTTCAAACCACCCAAACCCTGGGTACCAGAGCCACAACATTTCGAGCGCGTAAACATAATACCAAGCATAATACTAATTTATGTGGCTCTGGTACCCAGGGTATCTGACCTGGAGAAGACAAAAATTGCTTGATTAAAAAACACCCATGTTTTAGTTATGAATTGATATAAGTCACATTTTTAATCCATATTTTGATCATATGAAACAGCAAATATCAGAGGCAGTGCTGTGGGAACGAAATTCAAATTGGGATGGGGGTGTTGACGGTTGCCCATTGTATTTATTCCCACTTAGTACACTGTTATACAGGATATGAAGCTTAGGTTCCAATTATTTAGGGGGAGGGGGGGGCTCCAATTTGTGAAAGTACTCTAAAATTCAAAACAGGAAATTCAGAAAGTAGAGAGGGTAAGGAGTCGTCACTACCATCTGGTTACAGCATCGAACTCAGATGGGAGGAGATTGACAAAAGGTTCTCGAAGAATAGAGATCTGTATCAGAATTTAGCAATGCTAGAGCCATGATGCAGGAGAGCAAAGAGCCTTCTTTTCAGGATTTCTCGTTTAGCGAATGTCAGCTTAGAAATGCTCTTTGCAAATTGCAAATTAGTGCAAATGGAGATCCAGAAAAGAGAACATGATTTAAAGGAACAAGCTCTTAGAGAAGAAACATATGGAGAAGAAAACTGTGGGGATTTGCAAAGATAGAAAGGACCCCAAATTCGACACCCTGTATCAAAAGGGTAGAAGCTTACCAACTGTGCATACCCTGAGCATTCAAAACTTTGTGCCTACGCTCTATTTTATTTACAAAAACAATTTTAAAAGGATACGAACATCAAAATTTGTCAAAGTTGAGAACACATTATGAAGAAGCTAAGACTGAGCTGCTGTAAAATGCAATTTTGAACAACAACACTCTTTCCCCAAAACGAGGCTTTTTAGCCACGTGTGGGTGCTTTTTCGATGAATATTCAATCTTTTGGTCAAACGAAGCCTGTCCCACTCACCTTATTCGCTATCTATTGAACGGCTTAAAAGATTTAAGAACAAATTAAGAACAATCCAGCCTCAGATTTTTGCAAAAATTAAGAACAGTCAGCTTGAACCTAAATTTACTGGTTCTTATAAAAAAGAGTGAATACAACATGCACGTAGCAGCATACCCTTTCCTCCACAATGCGTAGAAATGTGTGATGACACTTAGCTGCACCCAAGTTCCCTGTTAAAAATTATTCAGCTAGCTTGATATTGTTAAGAAAAGGCTGCGCTCCATTATCAGTCAACCAATTGCTACTGCTATTGATAATTTCAAGCACAGAGAAAACTGTCCACTTGATTAGGAGCAAGTCACTGACCAGTTTGCTGACTCATCCACACTTCTTCGAAAGGAGCTCAAACTTTGAGAGTACAAATACATTTTGATCATAATTCGTAACTCTACAAGAGATTAAAACCCCGTTTACACGCGAGGAAAGGTATGCATCCAATTGGGTTTGAATTTACGAATTAGAATCGATATAATGGTGCTGTTTAGCACATTTGTTTACTGTCAATTTTTATTGAATTAACAATATTTTAAGGCTACATTTTTAATGACTACGTTTGGTTCAGTTTTTTCCGCCATGCCCTAACAAGAGCCCTTTGAATTTGCTTGCCAACCTGCGATTTTGACACCATACCGCCCCTGCGTTTACACCCTTTTTATAAGAACCGGTAAATATAGGTTCAGGCTGACTGTTCTTAACTATTTCGAAAATCTGAGGCTGGATTGTCCTTGATTCGTTCTTAATCTAATAGGGTGTTAAGCAGCGCCAGTGCTAGCTTTTTCGCTTTTGGGAGGTGTCCAGGTCTCATTTGCCAACAAAGTGAGTGAGACAACCTTCATTTGTCAACAAGTTTGAATATTCATCGAAAAAGCACTCACATGTGGCTAGAAACCCTCGTTTTTGAGATAAAACGTTGTTCAAAATTGCATTTTACAGTAGCTCAGCCTCAGCTTGTTCTGAATTTTTCTTAACTTTTGACCAATTTTGAGGCTCGTGTTCTTATAAAATTGTTCTAATAAAAAGAAAAGAGTGTAGTCATTAAGTAGGCTTAAACTGTATTGTGTACAAACCGAAGAAGTGGCCTGAAGGCAAACTGCATTTTGTAAGATCGCTTTCGATCATATTGAAAGTCGTAAACAGGGCTTGCAAAAGAGAACCTCTTTGACCCTCGCAAAAATTGCCTGGCTCAAGATAAATCAATATTTGTTCACTTGTGGTCTTTCTTCCATGGCCAAAACAGCTGCGAATCGACACCATTCCCTGGTAACCTTATTCCCAAACATCTGACCCTACTTCCAAAGGAATGTGACATTTATCTAACAACGTAAGCACCACACAAAAACACAGCTTAATTTCAGTCAGGGTCATTTTAAATCTTATATGCGAAGCTTAGTATTTGCAGATATTAAGTTTTTAATAAAATCAAAAGATTTATTTCTACGCAATATCGATCCAAGTAATATATCAAAACAATCAGGAGGGTGGCGGGATGATTTGGATCGGCCTTATAAAATGTAATAATTGAAATCGTGCACTTAGAATTGGGCAAGGCAGTTTTGATCAAGGCAATAAAGAAATTCTCACCTATTTACTGAAATGGCGGTTCAATTCAAATATGGAATTAAATAGGATATTCATTAGTAACGAAGAAATTTAATATCATATCTCAAATCTGAATTCATAGATTAAATTCATAGACATATTTTAATATCTGTATTTATAGATTAAGTTTAGGAAAATTAACAGGTACGTTTCGATGTGCATGTGAACAAAAATAATCAAACGAATATCATTTCTAAATGAACCAACAGAGAGGCTTATTAAGACCTACATCATAGTATACCAGTGGGTGAACAGAGGCACCTTCCCAATGTTCAACTAGGATGGTCTATAACATTTTGCAAAGAACCAGTGGAGGTTTTAAGGGGGGTCCAGGGGGGCTATGGCCCCAGGCCTCGCGCTTATGATAGCCAAAAGGGGTCTCACACATAGAACAAGATAGAAATTGTAAAGAACAAGGGCCCCGCAGATGTTTTTGGCCCCAGGCCCCGCAGTCCCTAAAACCGCTGCTGCCAAGAACAGTTAAAAATAAAGAATAAGAAACCCCCTTCTCATCGTGGTACAGTTTTCTACTAAATACAGGCCACTGACATCAAAACCGGGGGCGAAAGCGACATGTGCCCCCTACGTTTGGAAACTTCCCTTTTACTTTGAAGTGGTTTTTTTAAAAATTGTCCCTCCTTCTTAAGAAACGAGCACATGTTTGGTTGGCCGAATTCAGTGTAAAAAACTCTTTAATGCTCTCTAGACTTCCTTCAATGCCTTTAAAGAAAATTCATATCTGTCTTTTTCAGTCGGTATAGCTCTGAATGATTTAATATACACGACAGAAAATCTTTAACACAACTGCAAGTATATTGGGCGTGGTCATGGGTTTGTTCCTAGATGTGCCTTTAAAAAGTGTCTTACAGCACAGCCTCTTCTTTAGGATGCCAGCCTGTTCAAAAAGCACTTCACTAAAAATTCGACAAAAGCCTGATCGACTTTATGTCTCAAAAAAGGAGCGTCCGGAACTCTAAAAGATACGATGAACAAGATACTGAAAAACCCGCAGGCTAAATTGAGAAATCGTGAAAAACAGCCATTATATATCACCATTTAATTTGATATTGTATGAAAATTCCCCATATTTATTGCAAAAACTATATTCATTTGTAGCATTCAAAATATAATCAAACATTTGTCGCATTCACTCACATGGTTCAACATGTCATTTTGTTTCTATTTTTGAAACTTTCAGTTTGTCAGCAATTTTATTCTACAATAGAAAACAACACACAAGATGATAAGAATTTAAAAGGGGGAAAGAATATCAACATAACCACAAGAGCCTAAATGACAAACCCTGATACTCTTTATTATAATATGTTAAGAATTAGGATAACACGAGTATGTCGGTAGAAAAATTAATGCCTTCGAGCAAGAGTTACGGCCTAGCCTACGAGGCTATAGAGTGATATATTTTGAAAGTGCGCGCCTCATGAAGGTCCTTTTAATTAAAGACAGCGTCGTAAAGACATCATTAATCAAGTGCAGGTTACAAAGTAAAATACTGAATATACAGTACCATTCACAAACTGTAATGATTAAACTATGCTCCTCTCGAATAGGCCCCCGTCAGGAATAACCATCCTCTCTTACACATCGATTTCTGAATATCCCTCTCCAAAAGAAGATTCCCTTAACTACACTGCCAGATTTTTAAAAAGCAGGCGATTGATTACAATTTCTTAAAACAACTTTTACATCAATATAATTTTATCTTAATAAAAGAACTTCATGAAATGTAATAAAAGGACTTCATTCGGTTCGCCTTCATCCTATTTTAGTTTCACAAATTTTGTTGCTATCTATATGTAATCTACGTTCTAAAAAGCCCTATCCTAAAGGGGATAAAGTTAAGAATAAGCACCTCCCTTCGCTCTCTTTCTAATATAACGGTACTAGAAAGATACTGCGTACAGATGAGGGTAAACGAAACCAATCTTACCATGGCTTCAATGACGTTGACATGGTAGTGTATCCCCCCATTCTCCTCTACTTTCCTAATGTGTTTTCGCTCAGGGTCACCAGCGACAAGAACTTCTGTTTCGCCCTCGGCCTAATGATGAAAAAAATAAAAAGCTCATCAAAGAAAGCAAAAATCAGACTCCCATCTTAAAAGTAGAGATTGGGGTCTGAACACAAACTATGATGATTATGGACACTTTGAATACGTACCACTAAAGGTCTATTAAGGGTTATTTATTTTTCAAGTCCTAGAGAGGGGCTTAATAGAGAAGGGAGGCTTTTACAGAATATACAGTGTATATTTGAAACAAATTTGAGTCTCTATTCACAAACCGGTTCCAAATTCCTGCAATATGACATTATATCCGCCATTCTATCTTCGAAGCCATCAGCAAACGCAGAGGGGTCAATCGCTACAAAGCATTGTCCCTGTCAAGAAAAGAGCTTCAATGAACAAAGTAACAAGTCAATAAACGCTGTGGATACTTTTTCAGAAGGATAATTGTTCAGAGGGATGTTGTGCTTTAATCTCCAAATGAAAATGTTCTTTATAGGAATTCGTTTTCAAAAACGCAGTACAAGAGGAGCTTGAAAGGTCGAAAAGAGCTGGAATGATAAAAAAGATAAGAACGAAATAAGGTACAAAAATAAAACAAGACAACAATACACAAATAGAAAAAATAAAGAAGATTAAAAATAGATAGACTTATGGGAGAAACATGACTAACAGGCTTGCACTATTGATACATTTTGAACTTGGGGAAATCCCTGACAGGGCACAAAATCCTTGCCAACATCTCTTGAAAAAACTCATGCAGCAACAATTCTACCTCTCTGGAGTAACCAACTTATAACACCGCATACCCCATCGCCCCCTAGACAATGTTAATTTGTACTTGGCACATCAAAAAGCACGTCTATAGAGTTTTCGAATTAGGGCTTAAGGCCCTCCAATTAAACCACTTCTAAAGGTCGATATAAAGCGCAATTTGAATGACCCTCCCCTCCCTATGGTTCACACGAAAAACATTCAAACACAAATGCATACAGATCTAAATCAAGAAACATAAACTGAGCAGGACATAATCATGAAATAATCAGCATACCAAATTTGCTGGCCGCAAATCTTCCTTTGAAGCATTCAACCAAGATCGAATATATGGTCCGTAAAGTGATCCAGACAGTATTCCGCAGAATATCTCAACCATCATTGCCAAACCATAACCCTTGTAGCCACCTTAGGCAAAAAAGATTAGATCTTCCGAATTTTTTTCTAACTTCACTGCCATTATGCATCAAATATTGGATACCTGTGTTAGATATATTGTACACTTAGTTTACGAACAAATTCTGTCTTGTACTTCGTTCTGTTAGTTTTTATCTTGTTCTGGTAGTTTTAATAAATAAAATTTACGTTGTAATATTAAGATGGATCTTTTATTCAACATGAACTAAAATGATTGAAAAACCTCACTGGGTTTCCAGTTGAAATTTCTCAACCTACAGTTGTTTCAGTATAGACCTGGTTCAAAGTATACTTGCTATGGAATTTCATAAACAAGAATTAATTAGGGAATAAACTAAAAAAGACTAAAATTACATTCCAAAGAGGACGAACGGACTGTTCAGCTTTCCAAGTTTTGAAGTCTGTCTTCCGATTAAATAACAAAGTGCCTGAATCATTTTTAGACAGTATGTTTTTGGTTTTTGTTTCATTTAGACCAAAAGATACTGCCATATTTGTGAAGTATCCAAAATTATTGCAATGTAATGCAAGAATCAAGAGTCAAACATGCAATGCCATCCTTGAGAGCAACATGATGACATCTTCAAAGTTTTCAAATATTCCAGTTTCTGATGTGTTTCCATTTTTCGTGGCACATTGATACTTTGTAAAGACAAAATATGAGCTAAAGCACTCACTGTTGTTGATCATGTTAAGCCTCATTTAATTCTTTAATTTTGACATATTCTATTCTCAAACAATCGATGCTGAGAGAAATGGAGTTAAAATCTTTTATATGATATCACAACTAAAGATGAACCAAAGATAAAATACTTATTTTGCACTATAATCTTCCCTTTGTAGCAAAAGATTTTTCTATAAATTTTTATATCCTGGGTAACTTTCAACCAGTGGTCCCGCGGAGGGGGCGCAACCCCTATTAAAAACTCAGACAGATTTCAAGGGGGCTCAATCCCCCTTAACAAGTGTGCACATGTTTGGTTGGCTGAATTTCAATTGAGAACCCTTTATCTCGCATTTGATTTTTGGTGATTGGGTAAAAGCTTATTGCTCTTTTTGAGTCGGTAATAGTTTGAATGACTTTATATCCACAACAAAGAATCATTAACACATATAAAAGAATATTGGGTGTGGTCATGGGTGTGGCTTCAAAAGATTGCTTACACCATAGCCCCTAACCATTTTAGGGGGCCTTTTAGGACGGCACCCCTGCATTTGACCTCTTCTTTATCAACATCTAAACCATGATTTCTCAAGTAAACTAACAGCAATAGCTTTCCATTACAGCAAAATGCGATGAGGTCAAATATTAAACTAACCTGATGATTCGACACCTCCAACGGAAAGAAGTCCACCGCCATCAAGGACCTTCTGTGGATCATTTGTTTCCTTGAAAACAACCCCACAGTCTTTAATTTCTCATGGTGAACTTGAATACTAACGTAATGGTTAATGAGATTTTTCAGTTACCCCAATGTTATTTAAGAATTCTGCAGCTACCGATTCAAAATCGAAACCCCCTTGCATATCGATAAATATATTCTGAAATACAGGATTTAAGTCGGTTACCTTAGTTAATACACTCTTCTGTATCATGACATACATGTATTTAATTGCTTTTGGAGTATAGAAAGATACGGCTCCAAGTCGCTACCTATACGAATTAATCATAATTCTAAATACATGCTCCGATATCAGATTATCAAACTATTTGAAGATCTTGTATTATAGGGGATACAAATTGGGGCGCAAATGTTATCGCAAGTTTTAATTTTGACCCTGAAGAGAAACACCAGTTCTACAAAGTAAATATTTGCATGACGTAACCTCTGTTGGTGAACCAAGTCTGTAAAGCATTATATGCAATGAGATAAAACTAGCTTAAGGGGTGTACCTGTCAACATAGTCTAGCAAATGTCAAAACTTATTAGTGACGATTTATTAATGATATCCAATTCTTAGTTATCAATTTTGTCATTAAATAATTCCAACCCTTCTTGTGGGACTTTTTTCGCTCTTGATCTATTCATAGCCGTCAAATAACCAGTTTTTGTCAAAACGCATGCTGAAGAAATCCTTTTCTTCCCGCCAGACACCACGATGCATTACCAGCCTGTTTTCCATCAGTTTATCAAGAATCTGTATCCTCTGGTATTGTAGTTAATGAAAGACGTTTTTAGCACAAAAGCTATACATGTATTTTCCAATGAGTGAAAGAAAAATCCGACTTTATTCTTAGCTTGTCGGGTAAAACACAAAATCGGGCTTTTGTTTTTGCATGGTTGACGAAGAATGAAGAATTTTAGGAATAACTTTACAAGGTTTATCTTTAATAACCACTGGAGTGAATAACTAAGATTTGAAACAGCACTAGCTGTAATGCAAAAATGCACAAAGTGCACTGCACTAAATAGATCTACTTACTTTACCTTGACTGTCTACACCCCATCCCCTTGGAATCTCAATCCCTTTTCTATGATTCATCTCAACCTAGAGTAAAAGGCGGGGGAGATAGCGAAGGAATGAAAAAGCAAAATCAAAGTTACTTCTATATAAAAATCCGATCCAGCAAAATCCAAAAATAACGTGAAATAGCAAATTGAAAACTTATTCCCCTCAAAACAACCCTAAACGACAGAGGTTTTGGGAAACACGTAATGTCATCTTACCAAAACGGATAAATATCTGTTCATTTTCAAGCTTGACTTCTATAGTAACGCACTACTTTATTTGCTTAAATTTTTGTAGTGGAAATATTTATGTTTTATTTAAATCAAACGGAATTCTCCAGTCACTTATTTGAATTACAATATTTTGTTGTAGAATCAAATACAACTTTCGAAAGGGCATCGAAAAATCGGCAATCGCACTTAGAACAATCGCCCAGATTTCGCTGGCAGATTTCCCTGCTCTGAGTTCCAGGCTCACATAAAGATTGTCAAGCATATGACAATAAAGTTCAAAAATCTTTTTTTTAATTTGGATCTCATAACCTAAAAGGGCATCATGTTAGCAATCAGTTAGCAAACTTCAAAGCTTTCATTGGCCATATCTCACACGAGTTTTGACATGCCTAACTGATTTTGTATTTTTGGTGCTTTTTGTGTTATGTTTTTAAAATTCAAAAATTACAAAAATAGTCTTTTTGTAACGTCACACTTTAGCTATGACTAGACAACGCTCTTGACATCATAGCGCTTTTGACATCAATACCAACCTTGCCAACTGCTGCAGTTGAAGTGGCCATATCCAGTACGAAATCATCTCCCTTGCATGGTGCAGCTACAGAAATTGGGTTTGTCCCCAAAGCAGGCTACAGAGATAGAAAACAGCTTCAAGTTTTACCATTCAAATTCTTACTGTCTGTCAATAAGAACAAGTCATGCAATTTGAACCACAAAAAAACATAAACTTAGCTTGGACTGCTCCTTAAAATGTATTGAAACATATAGTAGAAAAGGACAATTCAAGGTAAATGCTCATTTAGGCTAGAGTTACACTATACCGGATTGCTATCGAGCGGAGCAGAGCGGAGTAACTTTTACTTCGGAGTGATATTTAGGGTAGCAGTTACACTACGACGCTCCGCTCGCTCATAAGCCTGTATTCCTTTGCATTTCTGGTACACAAAATCCACCAGATTAAATTTTTTGATGATATTTTCGAATCTATGTGCTGTTGCGAATTCGTTTTCAATAGCTATGCATAAAATGACGAAAACAAATATAAAACTGAGAGATAAATGATAGGGTTCGTAGGACGGATAGCGAGATTGTGTTGCTATCTGATGTGTTAAAGTATGTTTTTCGTCCAAGGGCCTTTTCATTAAAATTCGGGAAGAGATTAAATCCAAATACGAAAATGTTTTGACAACTTCAATTTGGCATTATCCAACAGTAACAAAATCTCAGAAAGCGCCATTGTTCATTATCGACCGAATTGCTTCAAGCAGAAAACAATAACAAAATCCTTTGTTCCAAAGTGGAGCATATCGGATTCGTGCGATTTCACTAAAACGCTCCGCTACGGAGTGACTCCGGAGCGGAGTGATTTTCACCCCGCTAATCGAGCGTTGTGTATCGGATTGGTGTGGCGTAGTGTAACTCAAACCCCTATCCGATATGAAAGTTACTCCGCTCCGATAGCAATCCGGTATAGTGTAACTGGCACCTTAAATTCAGATAAGTTTTCAAAGGATATTTACAAGAATGCGCAAACACATTTTACATGAATCAAGGGCATGTGCACATTTCTCTGCGATAATTTTACAGGCATTTGTTCCATATAAGAAGCTGAAATAGTAGCTTTTTGCATTTTAAATAGATCTTAATACATTATTACGGGCCCCAACTAAGCACAGGACCGAACCATTTGCCTCTCCTAACCCCTTTGCCCCTCCTAACCCCCATTCTGCGCCCCGCCCAACGATGCTTGCAAACGACAGTAGGGCGATTCATGACCATGATTTATTGTAGTACAATGTTTGTTCATTAAACTTTGATTGAAGCTCTTTGTTTTATAAAGTTAATCTTCCTTAATCGTTAAAAAATGTCTTTGATATGCAAATAAAAATTTTTTAAGCTGAAAGCTGCGTTTATTGAGCTACCTCTGAACAGTTCTTAGTGACATATGACTGCATTTTCCAGGGCGTTTTGTGTGTTTTCCTGAATTTCGATGGATTCGCAAGAGTCCCGGGTTTTGGTTCTGATGATTGCAGATCAAAACTACAAATGTCTTTTCAGCTTATACGAATTTTCCAGGAAACACAGATGAAGTTACATCTGGCCGAACATGTCTGGATTACTTTCCGTTGCGGAACCTAATCAACCAATCGAAGTGCCCCAATATATTTTGAGCGTAAGTGTATATGTGTGTGCTTTCCAACCTTTTTACATTACTATAATGTGTGTGTGCTCTAATATTCTTAAAGTTTTTAAAGAAATAATTAATGTCATCAAAAAGGTTCTTAGTGAAAATGCAAAAAAGGCTTTCGTTGGGACGGACAGTTTAGTGGAAAACTCTCTTGAAAAACAGCGCAGCTTTTTAACAAGACGATAGGTAGAAGAGGCAGTTTGCGTTGGAGCAAGGCAATGGAGAGGAGAACTCTTCCGATTGAGCGATTGCACGGGATAAAATGCGAAGCGTAGTACTTCGAATTAATGTTCACTTCACCTCCAAAGCGGAGTGACTTCTACTCCGGTTTGGCAAAGCGAAGCGATTCGGACTGCCTCCGCGTCATGTAAGTGAAACCCCTATCCGAAGTAAAACCCAACCCGGAGTGAATTCAACCGGCGTCATGTAACTCAGGCTCAAGTCAAAAATTTGAGTGGCCCATCTTTTTCATATCAAGGCAACTATAGTGATTTCCATCATGGGCGTGGCAGATGCGAAACGTTCAGGGGGGCTCAGAATGGATCATTCCCGAATATTGTTGGTCATGCGATAAATCTTGCCTGATTACGGAGCCTGCAGCCCCCCGTCCCCTATGTTCCCTACATCTATGATTTTAGGGATACATTTTCAGAGTGATATCGAACTGTAGGGGGGGGGGGGTAGTTGCCTCTAAATATCATTTTGTTAATGTTTTATAAACATATGCCAAAGTTTTTCCAAAGTTGTGCTGCAATCATATTAGAATAAAAACTACTTTTGGATGCTAAGTAGTGACAGTACAAATACAACTACAATATAAATAAGTGGCATTTGACAGCAAGAATACCTTAACAGCTCTTGTTGGGACTTGCAGTGGTGATGTGTTTGTAAACGACATTCCCTAAAGATGATAAATTTGGCATCAAATGACTTTTTAACTATGACTCAGATCTTGTATCTTAAAAATGGTAATCTTCAATTAAGAGATTTTAAGAAAGACTTCTACATTTTCCTTGAGAAAAAACTTTAATATAATGATGCATTGAACACTTACAATTAGTCCTTGCTCTGATGCCCTCATTGAATACCAACCAGCTATGCCATAATGATTTGAGCCTAGAAGTATTAGCTTTTATCATGAAAAAACTTACTCTGCTATTTAATCATCAAAATTCGAACTTTCTTTTATAAAAACCAGACCTCATAATTTCCAAGTTAGCAGAATCAAAACCAAAAACCAAAATTTATTTTATACACTACAAAGATGGTAAATAATTCTTAATAACATTATCAATACACTTCTTCTTAGAAAAGGACAACTGACTACACTATATGATATAGCTTCTGTTGATAATATTATCAGTTTCTGGTTTCTCAGATTCAGGTCCTTTTATGAAATGCCTGACATTAAATGTATTGCATATATACCTCTGCATGAAACCCAACCGATTCCTGCTTCTTTGGCCTTTTGTATTGCCAGGTCAGTGCAAAACTTTCCAGCAACCTTGATACAAAATACAAAAAATGACTTAAAATTATCTAATTGCCTAGGAATTAAAAAAGATAAAAGGCAGGTTTGGAAAATTCAGTCTCCCACACACCCAGGATGTCTGGTTTGTATCTGTGGGAGACAGTTGGGGGGAACCAAATTTTTATAGGAAATGTCCACCCCTGTTGCCAGAGTTCCTTTTTTGGGAGATCACAAGCCATATGAGTGAGAACTTTTACTGGAATTGTCCAACACTGCTGGGAAGCAAGCTTCTTCTCTTTGCCTTAACTTCTGGCTCGTAATTATTATTTTCAATAACTTCAGTCTTTTCAATAACAAGGAGAACAGCCTCCATATCATAAGCAGAAAACAGAGGCTTAGATGAGAAGGGGGCTGTGGAATGTTCCTCTAAAAGATCAAATTAGGGGTGCTCTGTGTCTAGACTTACTCTATGATCTTCTTTGTAGCTACTGCCCCACATTAAGGAGGCTACTACATCTGTTGTAGCATCTGTAAAGTGAGGCAATAGCCAAACAGAGGTTCATGGAGTAAGTCTGTCTTAAAAATATTCACAGAGAAACCAAACATACAAAGACACTCACACTTTAACAAAACTCAGTAAAAAAATCACTTTATCCTATTAAGTAATTGATACTTGCTCTCCTGTGATAATTGCCAGAACATTTTCTTCAAAATAATTTGGAATGTAGCTATACTTAAGATAAAAAATGAAAACACTTACTGGCCCTAGGACATTTTTTGCATCTACAAGAGCTGTTCCAGCCTTTTCTTTCACTATTTCTGGACTACCAGTTTTTGCTGTGGTTCCCAGTAATATATCATCAACATACATTCCTATGAAGAAAGAAACATCTGAATAAATAAAAATAATTGTTGAAAATTACTGTTTTTGGTCAGTCACTAAGTGTTGATGCAGTAAAGGCAGACCTGTACACATTTTTTGTGAATAGAACAGTTCTAAGTTGCTACTCCAAGTTTTATGCTTAATGCCATCATCAGGCAACTATAACATTTGTTGCCTCAGTCTATTTGGTACCACATAGTTTCTATAAATGACTCTTTATACAATTTTATACAAATGAACAATAAAAACGAATTGCTTCCACTGGAAGTGCAATCTTCACAAGATTATAGAGTCCTTATAATTCCACTGTAAGTATGACTCGAAAGTGATCTGTTCTGAAGGCCAAATGAAGTCAAAAATTTAGAACTTCAAAAACAGGATATTAAAATGCTTTTCCCTGAATCTTGTATGTGATTATTTGCCTGGCGATTGCCGTGCTACAGTACGACGTCCTCAAAGATCATTTAGAGTTATATAGTCCTCGGAGTCATCTTTAATTGAACTCTCTACTCATTGTTGACTCTTTTTCCAAAAATGGAAATTTTACAGTTTCAATATTTTCAGCCATAGTGGGCCGGAGCTGTCGCTCTCATGCAAATGTCAAATAACTCTTCTTATTCGAAGGAACAAAAATGCTCAATAAAACGACATGTAGGAGAGTTTAGTGGGGAGTGGGGGGCAGGGGGAGTGGGTGGGAGTGGGGGGGGGCGGCGGAGTGGGGGGACACGTCCCCTCAGTCCTCAGCAGAATAGACTTTGTATTTCGTCTAAATTCGATGAGAAAATGTTGAGGGAGGGGTAATATTTTGACACCATACTTTTTGTGATGTAATCCTATGATTTTCAAACTGCCAATTTTCAAACTAAAGTTAGTCATAGGGGCTCCCTTCGGATAAAATTAGCGTTCCCTGTTGCTAAAAGGGCGTTTTCTGGTTTTAAAAGGGCGTGGCTTAGATTTTTTTGGTTTGCTTTCATTCAAATCTCCTCACCAAATTCAAAAACCAAAGAACACGTTTACCAGGCCATGCCAAGCCAACTTTATTCAACATTCCCAGCCCACCCTTGATTGCTTCTGCCAGTAAGAGAAAGGATCCAAACACAAGAGACAGTGAATATGCATATTTGTGGTGTCAATCTAAAACTTCAAAAAATTATTTTGACCATTTTCAATATCTTCATTAGGAAATATAGTAATGATTCAAAGAAAGAAATCAATAAATTGATTTGGATAATTTCCTGTTAACATTTTAGTTTCAGCAACTCTTAATATGTAACCAAAATTAGATATTTTAAATTTAAAACAAATAATTTATATATATGATATGAGTTTAAAAAATTTACATTTTATTGTTGAAGTTAAAATTGTTTATTTTACTGCCCTTTTGTAGGATTGATAAGATCTTTTTAGAATGTATAATATTATATTTTATACAATAAATTTTTATTTATAATTCTAACAGGACCTGCAAACAAAAGAAGACAATTGGATTTTACAGACATGATGGTTGAAGAACCCCCTCATGGTAATTTTTGTGAATATCAAAGTTATTCATTATCGATAAGAAAATTGCATGAAAATAAAACACCAACTGAAAGAGCCAAATATATTTATTAAAAATTTGTTCTGATCTTAACTCTTTTATATTTCCATTTTTTAGTTGATCTACCTGGAAATGATGCCCTGTCACCAGCATATGATGAACACAGCAGCAATTCTGGAACAGTAGTCACAAGTGAAGAAAAACTTTTTCCAAAAGAGGCATCTTCACAAACAAGTGCTGAACTGTCTCAAATACTCCACGGAAGAAGAATCTGAGGAGGTTACTAAAGAGCAAGTGTAGGCAGATCTCTAGGCTATCTTCCTTCTTCTTATCTCCACACCAATCCCCAAAAAAGTTTACTAAGATGCAGAAGGCTAGTAAGGCATTTCAATTACTTGAAGGGCTTGTTTCACAAGATGGTCTCTTGTTTCTTAAAAACAGGTAGCTCCAAGCTTGCAGAAGAAACAAGGTAGGAGATATGACACCTCTTTTAAATCATGGGCCCTTTCTTTGTACCATTGTAAGTGGTAAGGCTTACAGATTCCTTGCAAAATTATTGAAATTGCCATCAAAAGAAAATCCAACTATAATGGTCTCTAGGTTTCCATCTGATGTTGGTTTTTTAGAAAAATCAATATTCGTTTTAAAGCAACATGTTGATGCCATGTCAGACAGAGCAAAGTATTGTTCACTTCTGATGGATGAAATGTCATTGAAATCAAATTTATTTTATAATGAGTCAACAGATTCCATTGTTGGGTTTCGAGGATCTTGGACAAGGTAGAGTATCAAATCTTGTAGCAAATTCTGCTTTGGTGTTTATGGTTTGTGGCATATGGAAAAGCTGGAAACAACCAGTTTCTTATTATTTTGTTAATGAGGCTTGCAGTGGTGATGTCCTAAAAGATATAATTGAAGAAAATCTAATGCACTTGCAGTCAATGGGTTTAAATATTCTTGCCACTGTCAGTGACCAGGCCTCCAACTTCTTGAAATTTTATGACTTAATGGATGTAAATGTTGATAAACCTTATTTTGAAATGCATGGAAAGAAATACTTTACCATCTTTGATCCACCACATTTAATAAAGTCAGTCAGAAACAATCTGTTACAGTATGACTTCCAGTTCAACAATAAAATAGCATCATGGAAAGATATCAGTTAATTTTTTGAAAAAGAACAGAAGCTTGCCATCAGAACTGCTCCTAAATGGACTCCAAAACACATCAGCCCCCCTCAGTTTGTCAAGATGAAAGTGAAGCTTCCTACCCAGGTCTTTAGCCATTCTGTTGCTGCTGGTATTTATACTTATGTCGCACTGAATGGCCTACCATCTTCTGCCAAAGGCACTGCAGACCTTTTAACACAGTTTGATAAGCTTTTTGATACATGCAATTCTTTGAGTTTTAAGGATAGCAAAATATGTTGCTGGCCAATGACATCTGGACAATGACATTAGGAGTGGGTGAGATTCATCAAATCCGTTAGAGTAGTTAATGGAGCAACAGGTGAAGACTGTACTCATTATATAAAGTGTCTGAAAGGATGGTGTGTTTCATTGAATGCTATTTAAGAACTTTGGTCAAGATTGCATAGTGATTTAAATATATGTTTTTTGGTAACTAGGCAATTAAACCAGGATCCATTGGAAAACTTTTTTGGGTCAATCAGGCAGCAGGGGGGAAATTCAGATAACCCAACTCCCATTCAATTTAAGAGAGCATACAGGAAGCTGTTTTACACTAACTTGCTCAGTGTTGCCTCCGCTAATTGTTAAGTTGACGAGAACAAACTTCTAACTAAACTGGCTCCTGTTGATGTTGGACCGCTCAAAATAGTAACATCAGATTATAGCAGTGAGCATATTGAAAGTAGGATTTTCAAGGATAATGCCACAACATATGTAGAGCTGGATATCTTCTCAGGCATACTTTTCAGAAATGCAGATGTCAGCAATGTTCTGCTCTGGCCAATAAAAATGGAGACATGACAAAAAATTTATTTCCAATGTTTAAAGCATATGACTCTGACACTATTCTGTTTATATTCTGGACTTATTGTACCATCAGATGAAATGCTTCAATTTGTGTTAAAGATAGAGAGCAAATTCATTTTGTTTTTAAATGATTTACAGCAAGAGAAGGGAACAATGGCAGCGCCAGCCACTACGCTCTGGGGGGGGGACAAAACAAAAGATTGTAGGCCCAACCCGTTTCACTGTAGGCCATGCCCAAAATCATAGGATTACATCACAAAAAGTATGTTGCCAAAATATTACCCCTCCCCCAATATTCTCTAATCGGATTTAGACCAATTACAAAATTGATCCTGCTGAGAACTGTCCAAGAGCTGATTCTGACCAAGAGTAGTATTAGAAATGGACAGTACCCTTGTGGACAATCCCCCATGTCTGCTTTATGCCTTAGAAAATATATATAAATATGGGAGTCATATTGTTTTTGATGCCCTAAACTGGAGTTCGATTCTGACCAAGAGTAGTATTACAAATGGACAGCACCCTTGTGGACAATCCCCCTTGTCTGCTTTATGCCTTATGAAAAAATATTATATAAATACTGACTAAAGGCCTTCCTGGGAACAATTTCGCACCCCTAAGCTGTTTTAGGCATGTAATGGAGTGCTATTGGTGTTTTGTCTTATCTCTACAAATGATTAATTACATAGTATATATGGAGCCTTCAAAAACCCCCCATCCTTAAGTCATTTATTCAGTTTTCACACAACCTTAGCAATAAAATCTCTGTGGCAAAACGATAAAGGAAGGGAAAGGATATTGCCAGAGATCTTTACTAAATTTGATGCTGAAATTATTTTAGATGCAGTTACCAGCAATCCCTCTTGCCACCAACCATGGTGGCAGTCTTCATGAAACCCTTGAAAAAAGTTAAAATTTTGACCCCAACTTTAAATCATGTCTCATCAAAAGGCATATGACAACAGTTTTGAAAATTTGATGCAATTTGAAAACGGCACAATTTGAAAACGGCACGAAACGTTTCAGTACAGACGCTTGAAACAGAACAATTCTATTGCAGATTTCCCTCTCTTTGAATCCAAAGCACTATCTTTCTGTCTCCAAGTGTAATAATAATATAATAATGATAATACCTTTTTACTGTTAGTTTGACAATAGTGTGAACACTAATAAACACTAACATGAAGCAATTTAAGAGATTGCATTATGGAAGTTATTGACTGCAAGCATTACAGGTGCATTGATTTTCAAAATAACAATCTTTTATAAGAACTTTCAACTGACTTGCATCTTTGGTTGATTTTATTTTTCATTTGCACGAGAATTCCAAAACTTTGAACCCAAAAACCCTTGAAAATTTCATGCCTTTGTCACAACCTGCCGTTTTCCAAATGTTTCCGCTTTCATATGAAAATGATACAACATTTTAAATAATTTGTGGAAAAACGGGACAACCTCATTGGCCTATAGTGGTTGGTTTACTTTATTGAATATCGACAGAAAACGATTGGCAATAACCCCAATGTTAAGTGGAAACGGATAAAGAAGAGTTGCCTAATACATAAATATAATCATCTGTTAGTTTTATTGGTTTCTTTATTTTTTTCATGATTAAAAATTCGATACGTCAGGTACATTTATGACATGTGGGGTACCATTTGCATGAGAGCGACGGCTCCGGCCCACAATGGCTGTAATTTTCTGACCATCCTTCACATTTTTAAAGAAATTTTTAGAAAATTGGTCATTATTTCCCCTGTAGCTATTCTTTGCTCACAAATCAATTTCTTCAAGTAACCCAATCCCAAGTAGCTCAAATAAATTAATCCATCTATGACCTTACCCAGTCTATTGATACCATGACTAAAATGCCCCCTTGTATCAGCTGCAACAAGTAGATTTGCAAGGTCAACGGCATGAGACTCCTCGACTCCTGTAGCCACCATGCATCGTTTTACAAAATCATGAACTTCACTCCGGCCAACCAAACAGTAAGAATCAATTAATGCCGCCATCTCAAATGCTCTTTTCACTGAAATTCCTAGCGCATCCCATTCTTTTGCTGGATGTCATATTCTTAGGAGAACGATCCGTTAATGCAGGCAAAAAACTCCTGGATGTGTATGACACAAAACTAATTGATATGCATGATGATGAGAAAGTGGATGATGAAGAAGTTATTTTTCTGATGGATGAAAATCATCATAGAAATCTCCATTATCTCCATGCGGACCTTCCATATGATAAATACGATCGATTTGATGCTGAATTTTTTTTGTTCCGCTATTTAGCATACGACATTCGATTAGACATTCGGACTAAAATGGCACGGTATAAGAAATCTGTGCTAGAGGGTTAAAAACAAAGTTATAACATTAAAGTACACTTACGTGAAAAAAGTATTAGGACGATGAATAACAAAATGACGGCTCCAAAACTAGCATTCTAACATTGATTGAACAAATCTTGCTGCATCCGAAGATATTTCGTTGCAAAATTAATTCAGCGAGTTCCAGTGCAAATGGCGGATGCCAGATTCCTGGAGATCATCCGAAAAAAGATCACATAAAGCAAATTGTACTTGTCTAGAAAGTGTATTTTTACAATTTATTAAATATGTCTTTATTTTTACAATTGGGTATAATTGCAATTGAAAATCTCAACCAGCAAACTCGTTATGTTCCACTGGTTTTCTATGTTGTTTTTTGAGCAAAGGGGTTAACCACATTTGCTTTGAGGCGATCGCCCTAATACATTTGTCACGTAAATGTATACCTTCGTAAGTGTATTATCGTATGCTTGGTTTTTGTTGTTACGTCTTGTAGAGGCTGATCTGGGCATCACAATGTTGAATTTCGACTTAGGCCATGCGTTAGACAATCGCCGTCGGGCAAAAATTTATTTTTACGCAGTAAGTTTCTCGCCCTTATATTAGGAAGATTTTCCCAAATGCTTGCAACGTAGCTTTTCCAATCCCAGTATACATATAAAACAGGGGATTCAGTAAAATTGTGATCTTCCTTGCAAATTTTACATTTCGTTTCCCATACCGAAGCCTTACAAATGGAAAACTGGAAAATCCGTATTTACGCAATAACTTTGTCGTTTCTCTATAAACTTAACTGAAACTTTATAAAACATATTAAATGAACATACCCTTGACGTTAACGGATGTTTCGGGAACATTTTACGACTTTTGAAAAAAAAGTTTTTAACTTTCCATACTGAAGCCTTATAAGGTAGTCAGTTTGGATGACGTTTACGCAATAGCTTTTGTCAATCTGATTGGACTCGTCTGAAACTTCACAAAACGTCTTCATTTAACCCAGAGTTTATGTTAACGGGGTCTCAGCAAATAATTTCACGTTTTGAGAAAAATAATTTTACCAAAATTCCGGCCCCGGGGTGTTGCTCAAGCCTCTCAGTTTCCACGAAGCCAGTACCTATTGAATTGAGTATAAAGCACCCTGTTTGGTTTTGCCTCTCAAGATATTGGCAATATGTTGCTATCTTTGTGCTAGATATCCACGAAATTCTGTCACGACGAAATTTTTGGAAGTGGTACGAATTTTTTTCGACAAAGTTTTGTCTCTCGAAAATTTATCTGAATCTGACCAAATTTTTTGTTGCTAATGCATTCAGAATCGTAAAGTTTATTTGTTCTTTCTTTGACTATTAGACATTTAGAAATGTTTCTAAATACAGTATGAAAGGAGGCGTAGTAAGGTCGCCGTAAAAATATCTTCTTTAAACATACCTACAAAAATATCTACTTTATTGTTCCAGTTGTTGGCTAAGCGACTGCCAATATTTCGGGACTCTGATATTATATTCTCTTGGTATAAATATTCTGGTCTGGTCTAAATATTATCTTGGTATAATGAATCCCGGATATAGCCAACTCTTGTTATTGCGAATAGTGGCGGAAATTATAGGGGTATGGGGGGCTCCGCCCCCTTCAATTAGCAATGTCGTCGGAAAATTCGGGCTTTCGTCGTATAATTGACAACCGTTTAACGTTTAACGTTATTATTATTATTATTATTAGTTCTTTCTGTTTTCTGCCAGAAACACTCCTTCATGTTGTTGCTGGCTGCAAAACATATCTGGAACAAGGCCGATACACCTGGCGACATAACTCTATCCTAAACTTTCTAGCTACGTCACTAAAAGCTGTCAATGAATCTACCATCTACGCTGATATACCTGGCTTTCTTTCACCATCAATCATAACTGGAGAAAACCTTCGCCCTGATTTTCTCTTGAGGACTAACAACAATTACCTCTACATTTTAGAGCTAACTGTTGGCTTCGAATCCAATCTTGAGACAAATGCTACAAGAAAACACAGCAAGTATGCTCCTCTCTTATCTGGTTTACAGCGGCAGTTCAAATGTGTCTCCTTTGTTAATCTTTCTATGAGCTCTCTTGGCATCTTCGGCAATTCCTGCAATTCATTCTTCAAAATGTGTGACTCTCTCTCCATCGATCAGCAACAAAAACAGTATCTCATTTCTAAACTTTCCAACATTGCCATCCGTACTACGTACTACATATTTTGTTGCAAAAACAAGCCATGGACAAATCCGGAATTACATCCTTATTATCTTTAGTTGTTTTATTTTATTTTATTTTTCTCAGTTTTTCCTTTTACCTTACGATTGTTATAGTTTTTTCTTGTAAAACCAGGCTAGCCAATTGCAAATTACCTTGTAATAGTGAGATTTGTAGTTGTAGTTTAAGTAATGTTTCCATTAGCATGAGAATAAAGATCGTCTGCAAAACATCCTAACCTCCCAAGGATCTTTATTATCACCTCTCTTTACCAGAATCTTCCACAAATAAACAAACTTTGGTCCAAGGTGCAAAGTAGCATGCCTGAGAATATTTTCAATTTCACCATAAGGTACCTGAACAATACCCTTGCCACACAGAAAAACCTGAACAAATTGAATTTGAGCCAGACCTCTGACTGTTCTTTCTGTTTTCTACCAGAAACCCTCCTTCACGTTGTTGCTGGCTGCAAAACATATCTGGAACAAGGCCGATACACCTGGCGTCATAACTCTATCCTAAACTTTCTAGCTACGTCACTAAAAGCTGTTAAATAATGAATCTACCATCTATACTGATATACCTGGCTATCTTTCACCATCAATCATAACTGGAGAAAACCTTCGCCCTGATCTTCTCTTGAAGACTAACAACAATTACCTCTACATCTTAGAGCTTACTGTTGGTTTTGAATCCAATCTTGACACAAATGCAACAAGAAAACACATCAAGTATGCTTCTCTCCTATCTGACTTACAGCGGCAGTTCAAATGTATCTCTTTTGTGAATCCTACTATGAGCTCTCTTGGCGTCTTCGGCAATTCCTGCAATTCATTCTTCAAAATGTGTGATTCTCTCTCCATCGATCAACAACAAAAACGGTATCTCATTTCCAAACTTTCCAACATTACCATCCGTACTACGTACTACATATTTTGTTGCAGAAATAACCCATGGACAAATCCGGAATTACATCCTTTTTAACTTTAGTTGTTTTATTTTTTTTTCTCAGTTTTTCCTTTTACCTTACGATTGTTATAGTTTTTTCTTGTAAAACCAGGCTATCCAATTGCAAATTACCTTGCAATAGTGAGATTTGTAATTGTAGTTTAAGTTGAATTGAAAATGAAATTCTTCCATAAAAATATTTACAGTAGGCGAAGCAAATTTTTTAGCTAATATAACAGCTAATTAAAACCTACTATTTATACCAAATTTATAAATATAAAATTGATTACAATGAATGGATAAAATAATATAGGAAATGTACAAAATTAAAAGGATGACTCATTAGATAAAAATATACAATTATTCGATGACTATTTCAAGAATCCAATCTGCGCAACGTAAGGTTTGCGAAGTCTGCAGTTGCATTTTGTATCTTTCCGAGTTTTAATCTTTTTCTGAAATATTGCGAAGCTAGAAGATGTTCTAATGTCATTTGTAAGCTCTTGCCAGAGCTTGAATCCCATAAAGGTTGTACTTTCTTTCATTAAGATAATAGCACATACTTCTTTCAGTAAAGATTTCTTTCATGAAACTTGGGTTGAGATTATGTAAAGTTTTATATATTTCTGTAAGAAGCAATTGCTGATTTTTATCATGGATAGACGTCGAGTTGTCTTTTTCAAGAAGAGTTTGAAAGTTTGATTCATAGTCACCATAGGCTAGACGCAAATACTTTTCATGAATTCTGGTTATTCTGTTGTTCATCTGTCGATCACAAAACATCCAAATTAAATGGCAGTAGCTAAATTGTGATAAAATGAAGACGTGCTAAATTGTGATAAAATGAATTACTCCAACATATCGTTCTGAAAATGTATTTTAAGCTAATCTAAGGGGCGTATTTGCCAAGTTTTCTGTATTTTCCCATTTTTTTACCCCAGGTGCTTCTATAACCTCTCTTTTCCCCTTGTTGCAAAATTTGAACATAGTATAGCTGATAAAACATTAGCCAGTACTAAATAATCGAACAAACAATATATGACCAAGATCTAAAATGCTTGTAAATTGTGTATTCAATATAAATTCCGTAAAGATTAGCCGAAATTTCCATCGGATTCTTCCAAATAAAAGTTATTTTCAAACGTATTTCCCACTGAAGAAAACAAGATAAAATTTTTAAAATGAACATCGCAATTGCAATCATGTTGTTATCATGACCGACTTGTCAAAAGTGTAATCGGTCTACCTCTTGTATCATCAATTGTCTTAGATGAGATATCGACCTTGATATAAAAAATCAAGTGGCAAGTGGACTGCTCTTGCTACTTAATTATGGCGTGGTCAGCAAATACTTCCAAAGGGTCCCGCCAAAAATCACCTATTTTCATCAAAACGTGCAGTTTTCTTGAAATTAGACACAAGATGCTATCTTGTCGGAAAATTGTAGGTCTGAAAATTTTTGTTTCAGGCTCCTCGGTTTCTTTTAAATAAGGAAACCTTAGTCCATTTCGCC